AAAAAAAAAAAATTATTAAATTTTGTACTTTTAGTAATATGTTTCTTGTTATGCGCGTCAACTGTACATACAATTGTTTTTTTCTAATCGTACCGTATTCGTATTTCATATCGTATCAAATATTAACATATTTGTTTATATCTATGCGTGTAACGATTACTCATGCATAAAGTCCCGATCACCCAATCCATTTACCGCATAATTGAAGATTTAGTCAAGCCAAAAGGAGAAGTGTCCCAAACATGTAGAATGGACTCATGAATCATGATGCTTACCATTACTTATGTTACAAAATTATATAATTACAACAAATAAAGCAATGATTGTATAGCATACTTATAACTTGAGCTTGAGAAATGTATCACACCATAAAGCCAGTAAAGACAAAAGAACAAACGCATACCCTCACATACAAGCATGATCACACTTTCCTTTTATAGGTACAAAAAATGATTAAGCAACATTAAAAAGAAATTAATTAAAATCAAAGTTTTAGCATTAAAATTTAAACTAGTACAATACCCGCATACTACAAGGGTGCTTGTTAAGAAAATTATTTTTCGAATTAAATAATAATAACAACAACAATTATTTAAATTAAATATATGTATTTATTAGGCTAATTTGAGGTTTACGTGAAAATTAATGAGTTGATTGAGAGCTTCCAAAATAAATCAAGGTTATATTAGTCAATCAATACCATTACTAAAGGTTCCAATACAACTTAAGGGTTGTTTTAGTCAAACTATTCTAGAATTATCAAGTTAGTTTTTCAATATTTTTGGAATGTCCGAACCTAAAAATATTGATTTAGAATAACATTTTTTTTTTATCAAAACTAAACTACGAAGCATTTTTTTCGCAAACTTAGGATTCTGAAACATGCGATGCTGTCATTTAGGTTCAGCGCATTCTGCAATTATTCATAGGGAGATTGTAAAAAAAGAAAAGTATCTATCTGTACTGCAAAACTTAAAACCAGGAAATCTGGTTTTCATATTTACTATCTGTTCTTGCACATACACACATGAAGTTCATGCCAGAGGACAACAATTCTTGCAAAGACCACAGTTGAAAATACCTATAAGAGATAGAAATGAAAAACAATATAAACATATATAACTTCAAAACAAACACTAGTAAACTATACCAATTCTGAATTTTCCCATGTCAAGAATCAAATCACATGAACACTTTTCATACTAAACTTCTTCCATTAGGCATAGGCAGAACAGAACTTTCACCCTCATTCAACAAACTCGAAAACTTCCCTTTTTTAGACCATAGCCAAATTTTCGAAACCGAAAAACTGTCACCTCTGCTCCTTGAACTAATCCTCTTCCCTTCAATTTCCACATTATTATCATCGGATATCGTCATTGTACCTCGTGCTTTACCATTTGCACCAACACTACCACCATTAGGCAATGCCACTCGCAAATCGTCATTATCGACTATGTACTGAAATGCACCCATAGAGTAGCATCTTCTAGCACCAATAATAGTATTGCTAATATCAATACTATTACTAACCTCAACGCTCGTTTTATCTTCACACTCTGAAATTTCATTCGAATTCCTAAACTTCCCGAGCCGAACGGATAACACCATAGATCCTGAACGAGATAAATTGCGATTTTCGACCGAACCACCAAAATTCAACGAGGGACTATTTATAGAGTTCCCTATTAAGCTTCTACACAAAGGGCAAGTGGAGTTTGACAAAAGCCATGTTTCTATACAATGAATGTGAAAGGCATGGCTACACTTGGGAAGAAACTTCAACTTATCGTCTGCCGAAAATTCGGACAGACAAACAGCGCAATCGAACGGCTCTTTCAGTCCCATGATGTCTCGATAATGGAAAACGGGCAGAGCATCTATGAGGGCCCGTTCGAGGCCCGAGTCGTGTAAACGGAAGAGATGCTGAAGCTGCCTTTGGAATGTGTGGGGATTGTTCGAATCTTGATTATTGCTTCGAATGGATTGCGAGTTTAAGGAAAAAGATGGCCTTTTTATCAGACACCTTATGAGGAGTTGAAGTAGGCCAAGTGCAAAGAAGGCAATGGCTAGAATCACTATAGACAAGAGAACTATTGGACTAATTCTTGACATGGCTGAAAATTATTGAAGAAAACAATAGATAGAAGTGAATAGAGAGGGCCCTTCTGAGATTGGAGCAAAAGAAAGGAGCAAAAGTCACGGTTCTGGCACGTTGATTGCTAGCCTCCAAGCGCTCCTATCCACCGCTAAATCCTTGGAGATATTCCAATCTTTAAGGTCTTTCTCTTAAGGAAATATAAATTTAGAAGGCCCAAAATGGCTTCTGCTAAAACAAGGGCCTTATTAAAGGTATCCAAAGAAACATGTTTTATGAAGGCTTTTTGAGATTAAATGGAAAAGACCCTTAAACTAGAATTCAGTTAGGCAGAAAAGAAAGAAACTAAACAGATCAATAATCATGCAAAGGAATAACTGTAATTGTGCAAAGATGGGAAAGTTTATAAGAGAAAGAAGATGACACAATGAAGGAATAATATCTGAAATTTTTGCAGGTGACCTACCTTTTACTGTGAAAAATTAGATTAAGCTGACAGCAAACAAAGAATCTACAACAAGCAACTTTTTTTTATTTATTTATTTATTTTTTTTAAATAATAATATGAAGATTAAGACAGAGAAAAATGTTAAAAGAAGATGGGAAGAGTGTGTTTGTGTGTGTATTTTGGAGAAAGAAAAGATGGAGGGACAAAAGTGAGGGTGTGAACACATACAATGATATAAATAAGGGAGATGCTACGGTCCCGTTACGAAACCATTCCGTCAGAGTTTTGTAACCGTTAGATCAATTATCCCGACGGTTATATTATGATCTAACGGCTACAAACCCCGATGGAATAATTTCGAAACGGGACTGTAGCATTTTCATATAAATTATGTGAAAGAACAAGAAAAGTCAATGTCGACCAGATTTTATAGATATAACTACATAATGAAAAAATAAAATAAAATCAAAATCAAAATTTTGGTTAGCTTCTCTTTTGCTGCATATGATCTCAGCAAGGGCGCCACATGTGTGGACTTTTACCAACCTTTATTTATTTATTTGTAGTGTCTTTATTTTACCCCATTTATGTGGGCAAGTAAAACTTTAATAATTTTTTTTATATGTTTTACAGCGATGTTATTTTTTTCTTTCGTGTAGTCATTTTCTGAATCATTGGTCGTGTTGACTAAAACAACCCAGTTTTGGTTCTAACCATGCCTGTGTTGTATATACAACATCATTGAGAATGAAATAACATGAAATCCTTATGAGATATACAGTTTATTGTCATACATTTAGCCCTTTATGTTAATAATTACAAACAACAACAACATACTCAATATATTCTCAACTAGTTGGGATCTGGAAGGTCAGTTATACGCAAATCTTACCCTTGTAATTATACAAGGAAGTTGTTTCCGTAGCGACACAAGGTGCATTGCGTCGTTTGATATATTTTTTTTTTAGAAACTTCATTAATAAAAGAAGCACTAAAATTTAATTGAGTCATTGTGATCTAGTCCATTATTAGCACTATGCCAAGAGAATTGTCAACAATGACTCTTCCAACTCTATTTGCAATCACCTTACCATTGTTTTTGTTTTTTTTTTAGCATTTTTTCCAGGACACAACAATCTGTCACTAATAACACACAAATAGGTTTTTTAATAAGTAATTAATCATACAAA